AAGGATCTTGTAGTTTGGAACATCATGATCTTTCAGTACATCAAAGCTGGTGATATCCAAAACGCAAAAGTGCTTTTCAATCTAGCTCCTGTTAAGGATATCTTAATGTACAACACGCTTCTAGGTGGCTATGCCAGACATGGTGAAGTCAACATCATGCTTGACTTTTTCCATAGCATGCCCACGAAAGATTTGGTATCATGGAACTCGGTAATCAGTGGGCTAGTCCGTGACAAGAGAAATAACGAAGCCATAACCCATTTCCACCAAATGCAAAGCGAAAACATACATCCAAATGAAATAACATTAGTAACTCTTCTCTCCGCATGTGCTCAAGTTGGAGCTTTAGATACAGGTAGATGGTTACATTCATATATAGATAGAAACAACAGCAGTTCAAACCTTGTAGTGTCTACATCTTTAGTGGATATGTATTCAAAATGTGGAGATTTGGACAGCGCACGACAAGTGTTCGATAAAATGTCAAACCGAGATGTTGTTGCATGGAACGCCATGATCATGGGCTTCTCCATGAACGGGCAAAGCAAAACAACATTACAATTATTCACCCGTATGAAAAGGGAACAAGTCAAGCCAAACGAAATCACAATTCTTGGTGTTCTTTGTGCGTGTGTACATTCAGGATTGGTGAAAGAAGGTCAAAAGTTGTTTGATAGTATGGATCAAGAACACGGGTTGGAGCCTAGAGTAGAGCATTACGGGTGTATGGTTGATCTTCTTGGGAGATCCGGTTTACTAAACGAAGCGTATAGTTTGATCCAAAGTATGCGAGTCGAGCCACATGTTGGGGTGTGGGGTGCGCTTCTTGGTGCTTGTAAGCTTCATAAGAATGTTGAGTTAGCCGAAACGGCTATGAGTCATTTGAATGAGCTTGAACATGAAGATGGAGGGTATCTTACAATCATGTCTAACATATACGCGAATGTAGGAAGGTGGGATGATGTGTGTAGGGTACGTGAGTTGATGAAAGAAAAGGGGATTGGGAAGCTAAGAGGGTGTAGTTCGATTGAGGTTAATGGGGTGATATATGAGTTTGGGGCTGGGGAGAAGGTTCATGAGAGAGTGGAGGAGATTTATGAGATGATTGATGAGATTAGTGGTGGTTTAGGGGTGGTGGGACATGTTGGGAGGAGGAGTGAGGTGTTTTTTGATGTTGAAGACGAGGAGAAAGATGAGGTTTTAATGTATCATAGTGAGAAAATGGCTGTGGCTTTTGGGCTTATTAGTATGGAGAAAGGGAGTGTTATTAGGGTTGTGAAGAATTTGAGGATTTGTGGGGATTGCCATGATGTGATGAAGGTGATTTCGAAAATGTATGAGAGGGAAATTGTGGTGAGAGATCGGAGTAGGTTTCATCATTTCAAGAATGGTGGTTGTTCTTGTGGAGATTATTGGTAGATTTAATAATTAAAAAAATATATCATTTTTGGAATAACCTTTATGATGCACAACATTGACAATATAATATAACTAAATACATGTTATTGAATTAAGATAATAATCTTTTTAATTATTATATTCTTATAACTAGGATCAAACAAAGGACATAAGAATGAAATCAAGAAGCTCATATTCAGAGCAAATTAATCACTTCAATCCAAATCCAACTACTAAAAAATATTGCACAATCAAGGAAATAAAAAAATTTGATCTTCAAGTTCAATAATGGGAATACAAAAACAAGAGATTACAGTTAGAAGTGTGCCAAGCTGTATACCAGAGTCCACGCCAGCTGAAATGAAGAGTTTATAAAAATTAAAATATCATTATCACCAAATTATTTAATAAAATATAGTATAAAATGGGATGAATAAAATTACCAGAAAGAGAGTAATTGAAGCAAAAAGTCCCTCTTGTAGAAGAGGTCCATGTCCACCAAATTCTTCTTCATCAAGCTTAAGTATGACTCCATAATACCCGTATATGATACCAGAAGAAATCAACAGAAATCTGTAACCAATCCAAAACCATTGGATTTTTTTTTTTTTAAATATGTTTGTGTTGATTTATAATATTTTGATGATGCAATAACTTACGCAAGAATCCAGATACCCCCTACCAAAGGAATGGCACCCCATAGCAACCCGCATACAACAGCTACAATTTGCCGAATCCAGTGAAGTACATCTCCTAATTGGTCCTGAAGTATAAGGACAAAATGGTCATTTACTCAAAATTAATCATCTTCAACTTCAACTAGCAGTTGCAAATACAAATCTGAATGTATACCAAAGTAAACATATATGGTATTCAGTCACATCAGTTCACTTAGGACATTCATTCAGACATAACGTACCACAGTAACAAAAGGATATATTAACCAAGTATCGGATCCATTATTGATTTCTCCCCCAAAAAAATAAAACCAACAGCAATCACTAAATTAGATGACTTTCTAAAAGAATTATGAATCGATTCACTTTTCACCCAACAAAACTCTGGTAATCGAAGGTGAAATACACAAGGGATTCTAGACTAGACTGCTCAATTGAAGATGTGTCAGTTTTACTTTAACTTTGAGATGTTCCGGTGATGGATTGTTCAATTTCATCAGGGTATACATGCAATTCCATTCTACAATGCAAAATATATCGAAAATTTTGTGATATGATAATCGATACCAATAGGAAACATGAAAGAATGTACTGAATTAATAAAAAGAAGAAACAGAAACAGACCTTGTCCCAAGATGCTTCCGGATCAAGCAATTTCGCAAACTTAAATGGAGAAAAGTGGGTGTTCTGATGTTGTTTATGTTGAAGGCTTGCTTTTGCAGACTTCTTGTCTTTCATAGTTGTTCGATTGAGATTAACACAAAGTCAAGAAATAGTAATCCAACTGATGAGAGCAGATTAGGGCTCAGTAACAAGGTAATCGGCAGTGTGGTGGAGTGGTTGGAGTCTTGGAGATATAGAAATATGAATGATTTGTTTGGTCAATGATAATCATCCATAAGTGTTGGTGATCAAATTGGAATTGTGATATCTAGGGTTTGTGATCCAAACTGATTAAATTAATGAAGGAAAGGAATCTTACTGGAATTGAATCGATCTGATAGGATAAGGTCAGGTCTCGTTGGGTTGCCGTGTTTTGAAAAAGTTGATCTTGCAAAATTGCAAATCCGCAACTAACCTTCGGGTGTTTGGCCGGTTTTCGTCTTCGAGGTGATTATTGGACTGATCGCGAGTTCAAATAAATGTTTAAATAAGTTTTTATAAACCCTTTAAAAATTATATTTTAATTAGTTAGGATTTCTAATTTTTCAAAATTTATTTTTATTTAAAAAAATATATGTATAAATTAAAACAAATATTTAAAAAAAAATAACTTATTGACTTAGTGATTTTTTTCACCACAAAAACTAATCCAAATACTTTTAAAAAAAGCTCATCTTCTCATTAGTATAAGTCAATAAGTTATTTAGATTGAGACTGTGTTTGATGTAGTAGTTGAAAAACTAACTGTTAAACTAAAAACTAGTTGATAGCTGAAAAAGTAACTCATAAAAAATAACGTTTGATAAAATTAACTGAAAAACTGGCTGAAATATATAAAATAACATGTAAGAGTATGTGTTTCTGTAACTAATTAAAAGGTGTATTTGGAAAAAGTTTAAAAAACTCCTAAAAATAAGCTAGGTGGGGCGCTCCAAACACGACCTAAAAATCATTTTAAAGTTCAAAAATTAAAATCCCAAACACCAGCTAAAAGAAATTTATAAAAGGGATAATGTCATAAAAAACCTTAGGTTTGGTCGGAAACGTCGGTTTTACCCTCCGACAGATTTATGGTTCGTTTATGCCCAAACTTTTTTTTTTTTGTCGTTTTTACCCTTTTTACCTGTAATAGCAAGTTTTTCAGGTTAAAATGAAATATTATTTGTGAAAAAAACCCATAAGTTTACATATATTTTGCAAAAAAAAAACCCTTAAGATAATAAATCTTAATAATGGTCTCAAATATGTTATTAAGAATTTTCGAATTGGTATTGATAAACACGAAGTGACATCGCTCCCTATAAAGATCGAATGGAATAAAATCATTCTCAGTAAGGTTAATATATTTTGATAGAGAGCCGTCTTGGATTGTTTTCCTACCAAAATAAACTTTTCTATATGTGATATTGACATTCCTTGTTCCTTATTCCCAATTTGTAAAAACAATACAGAAAGATATTCGACATGTCTTCATTAAGTGTTAAGTAACTTCCAAAATTCTTTTCAAGATAAGTCATTAGTGTGATATATGCTTATCTAATCTTATTCTTATTTGTGATTTACTTGATTTTTAGATTCATTGTATATAATCATGGCTTGTAAAGTAGTTTTTGAGGTGATTATAGTCACTTATGTGCTGACATCATTTCCATGCAATTATTTTTTATTAAAGAAAAATAAACATATTTTATATGTTTAAAAGGTTTATATTTCAGAAATAATAATATTATCATGTTTTATATAAAAACAAATATAACTGTATAAGTTATTATTTCTAAAACACACATATAAACCTTTTAAACATATAAAATATAAACATATTTGTCTAAGTTGTTATACAAGTATATTTATATTTATTTTTATAAAAAATATGATACGTTATTATTTCTGAAATATAAATCTTTTAAGCATATAAAATATTTTTTTGGTTCCTTATAAAAACAATTAATTGAATGTAATTAATGTGATATTATTCATATGTTTAACTATTTTAGCATAGTTATTTTTAGCTAACATTACATTTTTTTTTTTAATTTTTTTTTGAAAAGTTGAAGTATTAATTAAGAAATATATTCAAATTTTGATAAAACTATATATATATATATATATATATATATATATATATATATATATATATATATATATATATATATATATATATATATATATAGAGAGAGAGAGAGAGAGAGAGAGAGAGGATCAAATGAGAACACCTAAAAGGTTGAGAACGCGAGAACAATTCTGGACCAATCATTTTATAAGGGTATATTAGTAACTTTATATAAATATTAATTAATAATTTCCTAAAGTCTAGGGATAATGATTTTAATTACCTAAAAAAATTTATATTTTGTTTTAGTTAATGAAATATATTTAAATATTTTTTTTATGATTTTTCCCAAAAATAATTTATGACCGTTTCAAAAAAATTAATATTTCTTTTTATTTTAAATCTGAAAAGAAAATCTTAAAAAAAATTATTATTTTCTACTATTTCACATTTTTGTTTTTCAAAAAAAAAATGAATAAAAATCCAATCCCAAAAAATTCAATGCATTTTTCATCAATTGAAAATAAAAATAGTGTAAAAATTATCATTTCTTCATAAAATGAATACCTCTAATCATAAATAAATACACTCATTCACATGAATACACTAATATTCATAAATAAATACAATCATTCATACAAGAATACATAGCAATTCACAAATGAATACACTGTTATTTATAAATTAATACACATTCTATCATATAATGAATACATCTAATCATAAATAAATACACTCATTAACATTAATACACTACTATTAATAAATGAATACAACCATTCACACATAACTACAATGTTATTCATAAATGAATACACGTGCTATTCATAAATAAATACAACCATTCACGCACCCCCCTTCATGATCCGTTTTTTTATTGTCGATCGACTACAGCGACATCAAGAGTGAATCGGTACTGTTGAGTTCATCGTAGCCCAAGGTGGATTGAAGGCTTCCTTCCCGTCACTCCCTTTACTGTCGTTGCCAAATCAGACAAGAAGAAAAAAAAAGAGCCCTTACCTATTGAATAAAATACATTTCTATTCCTTCCAAGTTGTTGAAGATGTTCATTCATCCTTTGTCATTACAATCATTTAGGTCATCTGTATTTACTCGACCCATCTACAAGAAATCAAATATATTTTTTGTATTATTGTCAACAAAGTGCTTAACTCATTAACGATATACACTTTTAATAAAAAATTAATAAAGAACGATTATAATCATCGACAATAAATAAATCTATATTAAAAAACAAATAAAAAAACAAATATGAACAAATGAATAAATCACATTCAAAACGCCTCTTATAGACTAAAGAAGTAAACCTCCTTAACGATTAAACTCAAAAAATATTGCATTCTTCATCTTCTTCCTATTCATTTGAAGCAACAAAACAACACCAAAATCTATTGATTAAGCTCATCCATTTCTGTTAAAAAGCAAACCAAAAAAACCCACATCAAACTCCACAAATTTCAGTCAAAACAGAAAATAAAAAAGGGAATCAAACAAACACCCACAAGAACAAAAAAACAAAAAAACAAAAAAGAGAGGAACCTTTACGTGTTGTTGAATCGGTGCAGCCCTTCTCGATCACCAAGCAACCAAATGTCGAAGCTTTGTCATCGGAAACCAATTCCAACACGAACAGGGAGAACTCCCATCGATTTCCCGTAGTTTCCTTCACTTCTTGAATGCATTTCACTTGTATGTAAAGAAACAGTAGGAACACAAACTATTTCAGAAAACCAGGTCCGTTGTCGGCTCCTTTCCCTGCCCTAATACCACCGTATCGCCACCCCTGCTACATCCTCCTCCTTCTCGATCTCTCTTTCAGTCACACCATTCTTTCCCGCATCTTTCACTGATCATGGAAGTTAAGTGGAATCCCAAAATTTATCAGATTCGTTGGGTTTTTAAGCAATACGTACCAGACTAATAATCATAGCTTCCGACCACTAGGGCTACCGCCGGCTCGTTGAGCCACCGAATACCGCATGACAACACCTAAATCACTTCTAAAACCGCTGCTACACCCTCCCCCTTCTCGATCTATCTCTGAATCCACTTCGTACCCTCCCTTCTGTTTGCATTTTTATGAGAAAACAAAACCCTGTTGCAGTTGGAATCGATTAAGATTGAAAGAGGGAACCAACACTGTAAACGAAAATGTTTAGACCAGGGAGGAAGCTTGATAGTGGCTGCAATGTGAGATAAAGATGATGAATTGATCCTAGTCATGCGTGGTTGATGGATGCGGTTTTGTAGATGAAACCCTAGGTATACACGAAAGGAAGAAAGAGGCCGCAAAATAAAAGGAAATAGATGAGAGAAAGAAATTTTAGGAATCAGCTAAAGTAGTAATTACTGATATAGCCTTATCACAATTTTGAAGTTACACTTTAATCCAAGTAGTTTAAGATTTTAACATAAACGACCCATTTGATAATAGCCTTAGATTTAGATATTTAAATGGTCCAGATCTGTTCTCGCGTTCTCAACCTTTTAAGTGTTCTCATTTGATCGTACTCCTATATATATATATATATATATATATATATATATATATATATATATATATATATATATATATATAATTTAAATAACAAAAGTTTATATCGAAACAATATAAAATTTACCGTACTTCAAGGTAAAAATATGTTTCAGTTTTGGTTTCATAATATAAGTACGATAAAAATTTATATTGATTTGATATAAACTTTTGATATTTAAATTTGAAAAAAAACTAGTATATAGTTTTTTCAAAATTTATCAAATTTTGAATATATATATATATATATATATATATATATATATATATATATATATATATATATATATATATATTTGTATTTTAGATGTTTGTAATCTTAAGCTTTTTTTTTTGCAACATATTTGTAAGATTAAGAGTTTTTCCACAAATAATATTTCATGTTAACTTGGAAACTTGTTGTTACATGTAAAAATGATCCAACCGACAAAAAAAAAAAATAATAAGTTTGCGGCATAAACGAACCAAAAATCCGTCAAAAGGCAAAACAAATATTTTCGGACAAACTAAAACTTTATGACACTATCCCTTTATAAAATGTTTGTTTTATGATGCAATTCAAAAAAAAAAAAAAAAAAAATTGTAAATATCATTTTCTTTTGACAAGGTTCGGTTTTGATATCTAAGTTTAAACATATCAGTTTTAACTGTTAAATTTCCTAAAAATGACCACAAATATAGTTAAAGTAAAAATTATTTTTGGTTATATCATATGTAAATTTAAAATTATTGACATAAAAAAAGCTACTTAATAACCCTATCCCCCATCGTATTTGCTTCTATTTTTAGAAGTGTAAGTAAGCATTTTAGAATGAAGTGACTTACATTATCATAAGGTATTAAAGTACGAGTATTTTATATCTGATTAATATATATATATATATATATATATATATATATATATATATATATATATATATATATATATATATATATATATATATATATATATATATATATATATATACTAGTATAGTGAGGAAAACTCACATCTCAATCCGAATACATTCTGAATAAATCTCTACTCTGACAAACGATTCTACTTGACTCCTAATAATTAAAGCATTTCATATTCTAGATTAATAATAATTTTCCTAAATACCCTTGGTCAAACTTAGTAAAAGGTCAAAGGTCAAGTCAACACCTAGCCGAGTCAACTCAGTCAAGTCAACCCGACTAAGTTGACCTAGCTGAGTACGTTGGGCGTACTCGCTAGTTGACCAGACGAAGGTGCTTTGACCGCGTACGCGTAACATACCACTTGGTACGCCCAACGTACATAACGAGTCAATCCTTTTTCTCACTAAGAGCTCAATACATCAAGTCCTTACGTCCAAAGTCAGATCCAGTCCCCAAATAACGTCCTTGACCATAAAGTTTCCAACTTTATGGTCTTGCATGGCCAAAAAGTGCTTAACACTAAAAACCTTATCTACTTAACCCATTAAGAACTTGTAGCACATGCATGGAAGGGAATAATTTATCAAGTCCACATTTTTATGCCTCTAAGCACCTTAAAACGTCTAAAAAGACAAGGAATGGGCTAAAGCATGCAATACTCAAAAAATGTCAAGACTTGGGACACAATGCTCATGAATCAAGAACTTAACAAGATCTTAAGGAAATACAAGCCAAGTTTGAAACTTTATACCTCTTGGAGGTTGCTAAAGAGATGAAGATTCCAGATCCAAAGATTCTTCAAGCTTCCAAGGTGGTTTCACTTCCGTCCTTCTTCTTCAAAGCCACAAAATGAACACCAAAGGTCAAGAATGCACAAACAAGGAACTAGGGTTTGTTAAGGGCGAATGTAGGTGATGGAAGCTGATAAGAGAAGAGGTTTGGAGGCCATAAAGATGATTAAATAGGATCCAAAACCTAAAAATTAGAGCTTGTGACTCACCCACGTACGCCCTGCGTACTCTAGGAGTACGCCCAACGTACGTGAGGCTGCCCTAAATAAATACAAAAATGCCACTATGGGCCATTTTTCAAACTTTCTCATGCATAAGGACCAAAATGCAATATTTCTTTTATTGGGGTTAAATATCAAAATACCTCATCATCGTGATGTGACACATCGACACCTTTTGTAATTTGGAATTCTTCGGTATGATTATACTATGATTTTGGAATGTAAACTTTTTGAACAAATAATATTATCAAACTGTAACCTTAATGTGTCTCTATATTTGACAATGTTCTAAATAACGTAAGATGTGACTTGGCGGCAATGCCAAGCCTCAAGCTTATATTGAGTCGTGGAGAGCTACATCGTTTGTAAAACGTGACTTAAAGCGGCAATTTTGTATATCATTAATAATTTTATATATATATATATATATATATATATATATATATATATATATATATATTCGTCTATTATTTATTTTTATATACATAGGTGACCTAGGGTGACACTTTGTTAAAGCTTGGCAGCAAGTACAAGCCTTAGAGTCATGGTGCGCTATAACGGAGTCATGACGAGTTTTTTAGAAAATTGATATTTGACATATGAGGCTTGGGGGAGTGGTGCTGTAGAGGGAGTGCTCCCTTACTAGGGGTGCAAATGAGCCGAGCCGAGCCCGAGCCTGGCCAGGCTCGGCTCGGGCTCGTTTAAGTTATATGAGGCTCGAGCTCGAGCTCGGCTCGATTCGAGCTTTCTTGTACTGAGCTCGGCTCGAGCTCGTAAAGAATTATCCAAGCTCAGCTCGGGCTCGGGATCGACTCGTTTTTTATCTGACGTGCCTAAATAAGCTTAAGCTCGGCTCGAGCTTGTTAAGAAGCTCGTTTACTAATACCCTAAATCCGTAATTCCTCTAATATATTTTTATTTTAATATATATAAATAATAATAGATTATATTATATAAAGGCTCGTTTAGGCTCGCGAGCCTAATCGAGCTTAATGACATAGGCTCGAGCTCGAGCTCGTTTAATAAACGAGCTTAATATTAAGCTCGAGCTCGGCTCGGGCTCGTTTAAAATTGATTTCGAGTCGAGCTTATAACGATCCGATCCCGAGTAGCTTGGCTCGTTTGCACCCCTATCCCTTACCACCTAAGCAGCGAACACCGCCCCCTCACTACGGTTTTAATGTAGTTTAGATTGCACTACGGCTAAATAATGTCACACATTTTTCTCTCTCTTGCCTTTAAAACTGTCTCTCTTTTTCTTTTCCTGTTTTTTTATTCTTTTTTTTTTCCTTCATAAATTGTCTCTCTTTTTCTTTTCCTGTTTTTTATTTTCTTTTTTTTTTCCTTCATATTTTTTTTCTTTAAAAACCAATATTTTTATATTAAAACCAATTCTGTTAATGTCTATTTTCAATAGTATTTAATTTTTTTTTTCTCAATTTAACTTTTTTCTCCTCCCTCTATATGTTGCAAATATAATGTTTTTTGAATTTTCAATGTAATGTTTTTTTTTTTTTTTTTTTTTTTTTTTTTTTTTTTTTTTTAATTAATGAAATATTATGTTTTTTTTTTTTTAAAATAAGTTTTATTAAATTAAAATACTTAAAAAAAAGGAAAATAAAAGTGTGACACCACTCTTTTGGTATGACAAAAATCACACTTGTGTGGTAAAAAATAACGTGACGCACATGTAGCGGTTAAGAAAGTACGGTTTCAGATTATTTAATTTAATGTTACCGTATTTTTATATTGGACTTTGATATAAGATATGTTATGTCGGAAAGCAAATGTTTTATGTAAATTTCTAGTGAAGTTTTTTTTTTTTCTTAAATATCAACTATTTTTTATAGCTCACAAAATGATATCACGATCACTCTATCTCTCTCCCTTACACACACATATATATATACATATATATATATATATATATATATATATATATATATATATATATATATATATAACTTTATTATTATTATTATTTACTTTTTAATATAATATATATCTTTGTCATGTAATACCCTGTGTCATACATAAAAATAATTAAGATTATATAAAATAATATGGTTGATAGCTAATATAATCAAATTATATTAAGATAAGAACTAATCCTAAGGTCACATAATATTTGATATTTTGATCCGGATTATTTTGACAACCATAAAGAATACAACATGATTATTTTGGTCATTTTGTGAAAAAAAATTGTGTTATATTTTAAAAAAATTCTCAACGCATGATTATATCCATAATTAATTAATTGTTATATACACCAATCTATTAAATAAACTAACAAAATATATATCATCAAAATACACGATTATAAATTTTCTTATCGAAAAGAATTAAGAATGTGTGTGAATTTACGTGTGGCATGAATATTCAACCGGTAACTCTAACCCACAGATGTCAAGGATCCCGCTAAAGCCATTGTTCGCCTGTTAAACGCAATAACTGTGCGTGCTCCCACCACCGGTAACCGCTCCGAACGGCCGCCTGAGTCCACATACCCCCGCCTTCACTTCCAGGATCCTTCCTGATTCATGGATCCCTGTTCTGCGGTACATTAATATTCACACCCCTCTTCAATCAGCTTCTAATCTTCAACCGACAACCCTTTCTCCTCCACTTCTCTCTGCACCACTCCCCCCTAAGGCCACCAGTCGGAGGTAAACCTCGAACACTTACTTTGCTTCGTTATTTTATGTTTTCACTTTATGATTATGTTTGACTTTTATCCTTTAATCCATGAATCCAATTCCTCTATCCGAGTTCATT